ATATAATATAATATAATATAATATAATATAATATAATATAATATAATATAATATAATATAATATAATCATCTAGATTGACTATTACAGTTCTTAGGAAAGTTAGATTAGATTCTTTAATAGATCTTTAAATCTGGTTTTTAAAACACATTAGCAGATTTCAGCTAGAATTGTTCCTTTTGACCAAATAACTGGTCACTCTTCTAATACTTTGATGTAGAAATGTTAACATATGATGTGTTTGTTTTGCATTTTTGAAACAGGGTCTCACTATGTAACCCTGGGTGTTCTGCAGCTTGCTTTGTAATTACAGGCGTGTACACCATGCCCTGCTGAGAGGTTAAATTTTTGAGAACTAATTTAGCCTTTAAGAGTTTTGAGTGAAAGACCCTTAAAGCTGTGAGCCAGTGGTTTTGGTCCATTTAGATACAGAAAATAAACCCAGGACAAATGATTCCCAGGGCTGCATTTACTGGAAATGCTAATGCTTGGTTTATAAAACCCTTCTTACAATGTACTTGCTTATGTGTCTTCTAGAGACTTGAGTTACTGAATATCCAACGATTTTTTCTTTCTTTTTTTTTTTTTTTTTAGAATTTGCTCCAGTATTTAGGATGCTCTCTCGCTCTCTCTCTGTTTTTGCTAGCTTGAAGCATAGTAATGTGAAAATAGGTTGCCACTTAGCTGGATGTGGTGGTACACACCTTTAATCCTAGGAGAGGCAGCCAGATCTCTGTAAGTTTGAGGCCAGTCTGGTCTACATAGCAAGTTCCAGACCAGCCAGGGCTGCACATTGAGATCCTGTTTCAAAGGAAAAAAATTTTTTTTTTTTTTTTTTTTTTTTTTTTCACTGTGCCAAGGAATGATAAACATGCTTAGTTGTATATGTAGGCAGTTTGGGTAGCATTGAGTAGACTTGCTTTTTTTCCTTACCAAACATACTGGTAAGCCATTTTCCATTTATATATTAGATGTAGAAATATAGCTTCATTGTGTATAAGCATCTGGACAAAATGTAATGACTGATTATGTAATAGTA